CCTCACCTGGCTCCTCTTCAGATTTCTTGGGCTCTACTAAGTGTCAAACACCATTTTTTTTTAAGTATCTGGACTCAAAACTTTGGAATCATCTTTGAATCTTTCCTTTCCTTCATTACTAGTAAACCAATAATGTGTTAGATTTTTCTACAATCTTCTATGTCCTTGACCCTTTCTTTAAATTATTGTTACTCTAGGCCAGGGGCAATTAGGTGTCATAGTAGATAGAGTACGGGGCTTGGAATCAGGAATACTCATCTTCATGAGTTCAAATCCAGCCTTAGAAACTTACTAGCTATGTAACCCTGGGCAAGTTATTTAACTCCCTTTTTTCTACTGTCTCTCTTATTAGCTTTTCCTCATTATTACTTCTATGAGAATAATGTGGGGATAGATTTAGGAGTCATTACAGGAACACTCCCAGGATTAGGCAGAACCAAACTCTAAGATTCAAATAGTGTTCAGTGTTCAAAAGTTTAGCATTGCTTAGACAAGAATTCTAGTGATTCCCCAAGTCAGATATGAGGTGGAAAACAACAAGCTAAATTCAGTATTTAACGACATCCAAATATCTAAAAATGCTTACCTTGCGAGCCCATAAAAATTAGCAAGCTTCAAAAAAGGAATAGAATTTGAAACCAAAAAGAAAACTAGTAAATTCCTAGAAGGAGACAGCTCCTTTTCCCTTAGAGAGAACCCAAATTATGCACTTCCTCTCTCTCCAGTCACATACTCTGGGTCTAACATTTTTGAAAGAAGGCTGTTGAACATCTGTTGTGTAATTAATGGAATGCAACAGCATGTTGTAATATTCCCTGGGAAGTTATTAGCAACATTGCTTATGAGAAATGAAGTGCTGCAAACAACGGACCTTTTTGGGGGGGGGGAGGAGGATAAGGGAGATTTAGAATTTAATGCATCTCCTCTCTGTTTTAACTTGGCAGCTCCCCTTTCCACCTCCACTTTTTCTTAGCCCTAGAAATATCCATGCTCTAATATCTATTTTACTATAGGTATTTATGGCAGCACTTTGAGATCTGCTCGTCTATTGCTTCACTCAACCAGCAAACAAAAGTTTTATGTATAATTGTTATGATTTCCAAACTTCTTGTATTTTTCTAATTTGCCTAGCCTCTGGTGAGAAGAGATGGCAATTCGTTTACCAGACCAGACTACTACATTGTTAGGGTTAATCATCCTCACCACAACTGTACACCAACACTTGAAAATCCTCATTGAAATAAACCTCCCAGATGCATAAGGAATACAGATCAAATCCTGTTACAACAAACAAGATTACAGCAAACCCCAAATAATCCCCTACTTGTTTTAAGAGACATTTGATTTGACACAATTCTAATTCAACAATACAATTTAGACAGGCTCCAGGAGTTTGTTGCAAAAGTCAGTCGAAATGGTCAATGAGGTAACTGATGAAATGGATGCAGGGGCATGTGGATCAAGCTGGAGGTAGTGTGAGAAGGAAGAGAGAGAAAAATTCTCCAATCCATCAATCGATACTCATTCATTAAGGACCTGCTACATGCACCATACTAAACTTGAACTCTAAGATCCATAGACCCTACCTAGAGAATTTTAGGTAAGCTGTCCCTTCATGCTCCTAAGGAATTGGTATAAAAGAGTTTGTGTAAGGATAATTTGTCCCAGGGTACTCAGAGATGTAGACGGTCCCTTCCTTGCCTCTTTCCCTGCTTTTGTAACCACTGCTTTCTGCCTTTGGTTCCTGGTTCATCTATTCAGCTACCTAGTCCAGGATGTTTGATCTCTTCCTGCTTCTGTTTCTCCAGATCATTCTCTAGTCCTTTCACCTTGTCTATGGAGACTCTTGGTACTTCCTCTTAATTCTAATATAGATTTAAACTTATTCTGCCACTAATGCCTCATTGTTGGGTGTAGCCACTAAATATGGAAGTGTACTCCAAATAGGGTTCACCTACCCCAAGACAAGACGTCATTAGCCTTCAGTAAATAACTTAGTCAAAGCAAGGCTTGTGAGGCTTTTTTTTTTTTGGCTTCAATTTTTACTTTTTCATTAACTTGTTCAAATCAATTGGCTATTCTGACATCGTTCAAACACAGACTTTGTCTTTTCTATAGGAATATTCCATTACCCCAATCAACTATGTCTGCCTCTAAGACATATACTAATCATAGATTTAGAACTAGAAGTGACCTTGAAGGTCCCTGAGTCCAACCCCTCTCATTTTACAGAGGAAGAAACTGAGGCTGAAGGAGGTTATATGTCTAGTCTCACTCAGCTAGTAAGCACCTATGGCTGGATTTTAACTCCAGCCTTCTTGACTCTAAGTCCAGCACTCTACCTATTGCTCTGTCTAGATGCCTTCATATTCCGTCTAATTTCAAAATTCTAGAATTCTGCAAGTTGTACATAAGAAAATTGTAGTTTCATGTATAATCATCTTTTTAAAAAATTATACAATATTATGGAAATGCTTGTTTTATTCCTTAAATTAAAAATTAAAGAAACTAAAATTCTATAATTCCATGAGATGATGTTAGTACTCATCCTGCCTAACTGCCCATCATGTGTATCTTTCTTTCCTCTTTCCCTTTTTCCTATCCAACTGTCCTTTTTTTCCCCCCTCTTTCTCTCATTCTTCTTTCTTTTCTACCCAGACCTTTAACCTGTTATTTCCTCCCATAGGAATTGATAACTTAGAACTTGTGAAGTCAGAGTCTAACAATTTGCTGCTTAGAATCATAGAGTTTGGGCTAGAAAGGAACTCACAGATCATATAATCCAAACCCCTCATACTACTATGAGGAAAGGAAGGTCCAGGGAGGTCAAGTGACTTCTCCATGAACACTGAGGCTGTAAGCATCAGAGGCAGCATTTGAATCCAGTTCCCAGAAGTGATCCAATGTTCTTTCCATTGTGCCACACTGTCTCCTTTGCCTGAGACATACTCAAAGCAATAATGGATAATGTCCTTGAAATTCCCTGAAAATTTTGGACTCTAGGCAAGAAGGGACCTTTGGAAATATGCCTCCCCTGAAAGAGCATTAAAGGGGAGTCATGACTACCTTTACATAAGAAAGAGATGTAAACATGGTATCTAATTTGTGGAGCAATGCCTGTTTCTCAGCAGGCCAACTGTTTGCTCTTCACAGCCAAAGCAGAGTTTTTAAAAGTCAAGATCTTACCTTAATTGGAAGCCCTTTTTAGTCCTAGCCAAATAATAACTATTATATCATATGACATAATGATAATATAAAATTTCATCTAAACAAATATTTGCTGTTGACAATAGAAAGTGTTACTGTTAATCAACACCTTTGACAAAGCCCATGGAAAAGCAGAAAAAAAAAAAAGGAAGCCCTCTAAAACCTTGTTGTTATGATTTCCAATCATCACTGAGCAATAACAAGGAAAAGACACTCTGGATGACTTTGCATGACAAAGAGTTTTTACTCATCCTACTACTAGCTCAGATTTATATAGTGATTTGGAGTTTGCAAAGGATTTTTTACATCCGTGATATCATTTATATCAATGGGTACTTCAAATATTACATAAATGTTACAGATGAGGTTCCTGAGGCACAGAGAAATTAAAAGACTTGTCCAAGGTCACACAGATGTCTTTTAAGGATCCCTTTTGGAGCCACTCTTCAAATGGGCATACATTCACATAGTGAGTGTTAAGGGGGTGACCTGACTACTTATTCAGGATTCTGGAGTAACTGAGCAGTTGAGTTTCTTGGACTGTCTCTCATGAGCTTACTATTAATTATCAACCAGTAGCCTAAATTAGATTTTAGCAAAAGTATTTATGAAATGGTATAGTAAGAACAGTTGAAACAAAACATTCTCCCCCAAAGCCTGAGACATACCCTTCCACAAGTACTCACAGAGTTCAAGGGAAAGGGGACTTGAACTTAGATGGTAGTGAGGGACACACATAGATGACCAAAAAGTCGACTCATAAATCCTAATTACCAGAAGCCCATTCACAGATCCATACCTAGCATTTTCCTCTGGGATGGGGGATCATATCACTTGAAACTGCTTACTCCTTTGGGAGTAAGCTGTTTGTGTATCCATCTGAGGCCCTGTTGATCTTCTGGGTGCATTAACTGCCAGTTGTCTTGTCGCTCTGATAACATGGTAAACTGGGGTGGGAGGAGAGAGAGACAGAGAGACAGAAAGAGACAGACACACAGAGAGAGACAGAAACAGAGAGAGAAACAGAGAGAGAGACAGAGAGACAGAGACAGAGAGAGAGACAGACAGAGAGAGAGAGACAGAAACAGAGAGATAGAGGCAGAGAGAAAGACAGAGACAGAGAGACAGAAAGAGACAGAGAGAGACAGACAGAGAGACAGAGACAGAGAAAAAGAGAAAAGAGATAGAACTATAGAGAAAGAGAGGGAAAGAGAAAAGAAGGGAGGGATGGGAGAGAGGGATAGAGACAGAGAAAGAAGAGAGAAGAGACAGAGAGACAGACTCTCTCTTCACAAGAGTAATTCCTTCTCAGGGGATTAGCTTTTTAGCTTCAAACTTGGATTCTTCTACCTCTTGACTCCTTCACTGTTAGACTGAGCTACTGCTTTACTAACTTGTTTTTTTTTTGTTTTTGTTTTTGTTTGTTTTTTGTGTTTTTTTTTATATGTAGTTCAAGAGGTGTGAACTGATCTTCTCATCTAGTCATAAGATGTTTCACTTGCCTTTCATCCAAAGACCAAAAGTCCTGTGTTCATTTGAGAATGACTTACCCACAAAACCTTAACATGAGGTTATATACCTAGTTACTCTGTTTACTAGTTGGTCAACGGAGTTGGAGCAAAACCCCACCTTCAGACTTGGATATGGAGCATCCAAAGATTAAACCCAGATTTCTTAACTCTAAATCCAGTAATTTATCCTCATACATCCTTTTGTCTTGTGATATAGAAACGTAAACATGAAATGAAACACATATAATATAACAACTAGAACATGGGGACAAAGAAACTGACCTGCTGTTAAGTGGGCAGCATGGACAAGAACACGGATTCCAGGTTTTAGCTCAAAGTGGATGGAGTTTTGGTTCAGTTTGTGAATCATCAGTTCTGATATCTGGGGGAAAAAGGCGTCAAAGTTAACATTATTGAAGCTGTCATACTATCACAAAAATGAATGTATTAGATTAATATGTCTTAGAATTTATAATGGCATTAGAAATAAAAATAATTTGAAAAATTTTTGTACTATTTTTATGCTGTATATATATATATTCATATATATGTAAAGATTGCAGATTATAGGGTATTTACCTATGTTCATAGAAGAAATAAATATTAGCTACTTAATTTATTTACAATTCAATTGTGAAACAAAATCATTTATTAACATTCCTAACATTTCTGTGACCTTAGACCTTGGAGATATCTGTCATGTGTAAATAATGATTTATTCAGGCACAGACAATTGACACGTATTTGTGAAATTTGAGTATATTTTCTTTTATTGGCAGGTACCAGTGATATAAAATACACAGCCTAGAAATTATTATAGCTGACAATTGTGTAAACACAGAGCTGTAAACATTAGACCTAATACAGGCATAATTAATCAATTTACTAATACTCAGCCACATTTATGAGTATTAGCCATGCTCCTCTTTTGTTTCAACACATATAGCTAATGCATTAATTATAACATTCATGGTCACAAAATATGCACCACCAAGAGTGAGTAATATAACAAATTTAATATATAACTGTGTCACATTTTCAAAGGCAAGATTAGAACATGTGCACTGAGTTTTAAGTATAAAATATAATCTAATTTGATTCAGACGTTTTTACTTCTCAGGGACTTCTCAAAAGCTGTCAGGGAAGATACTTTCCCATCAATTTCAGGCTGTCTTTTCCCATGTTACTCATTTCAGTCAAGTCAGTTTAATTTGTAAATGCTAATTAAATCTGATTAGATGCTTTCTGGCCATCATTCACCTTGGGATGATGTTTACATCTTGTTGAATTCTTAATGTTTTTTTAGTTGATCTTGGGTGTCAGTCTGTTCTTTGATCCCTTGAAATGATGCCCTAAAACCAACCAAGATTCAAATGCTCTGAACTAGGACATCACTAGAGTATTCAGTCGTCACAGGGCATGTAACAGTATAAGTGGGAAGAAATAGGAATTAGCATTTATACAGCACCTACTATTTGCCAGACACTATTTTAAGCACTTTAAAAATATGATCTCATTTGATAGTCACAACAATCCTGGGAGATAAGTGCTATTATTATCTCCATTTCATAGTTGAGGAAACTGAGGCAAACCGACAGTTAAATGACTTGTCCAGGATCACCCAGTTAAAAAGTGTGTGAGGCTGGATTTGAACTCAGGTCTTCCTGACTTCTAGGCTCAAAGCGCTACCTAGCTACTGTTTATTAGGTACATGATAGTGGTGAGCCATTATTGTCTTTTCCCCATATCTTATGACTATGAGACTATGTACCGCTTTGCAGGTTTAATTGTCTTGGTGACAACAGTAAGAGGCAAAGTACAGGAAAAGAGTAGAAAGAAGAAAGTTCAGACTAAGACAAAAGCAGCTGTGGTTTACTTGCTCATGCAGCCAGCATTGTTAATACTGTTCTGTTGCTTTTTATTTTATTCAATAAACACACTCTAATCTATAGATGAGTAAGTAATCTTTGTGGGTCTCACTAAATTGGAAAAGAGATTAAGGTCATGTGGGAATGGGGGCAAAATGATTCAAGCACATTATGGATTTTGATGGAATTAAATGCTACCCTAGATAATGGCCTAGGGAGGCGCTAAAAAAAAAAAAAAAAAAAAGTAGGCCCTATCTACACATGCACAGATAGAGTGAAAATGGATCCAAGACTGAAGAGGTGCCCAGGCAGGTCTGTGCCAGCCCAGTGGCTCCAGGGTAGCTCAGGGTTTGTGGCGCCATCTGGTGGTTTACCCAGGTACAGCACCCTGAGAAGCTCTTCAGCCAGCCTCCCTTTGTGTCAACAAGTGCTGCTGCTGCTGTTGTTGTTATTGTTTGTCCTTTGTTCCAATGACATCAGGAAGGTGAAGTCTTGACTTGCAAGTGAATAAGATTTAAGTAAGGCAGGACTGTGTGAAGTCACCAGCCTCACTTTCTCCTCTAGAGCCACCTGGGTCCAGTGGCAAGACATTGATCAGGAAGACTAGAAATGGCCCTGGATGCATTGGTCTCTTTAAGCTAAGGTCTTTTCCAGGTCTCAGTTTGTCTGAGGCAATACCCATTCAGTGATTAAGGCTAGGTAACAAATGAGGCAAAAAACGGCCTCTTTTACCTACCCCCCCCCCCAAAAAAAAATCAATCCGGGAGGGGAAGACCCTCAGGGTTTCTGGCCAAAATAGAAACAAATGCTATTTACACTCACTCTGAGCCAACAAAATCCAAACTATGACCAACTAAGGCTTGCTTAGGGATCCATTATTGGCCAATCAGTAAGAGCTTGAGTGCTTTGGGTTTAAGGCACTGTCAGGTAGCTCCATTTGAATCCCAATGGCTTTATCAATACCTGGTTTTCTACAGCCCTATTTCAAGAAATTTATATTCCTTGTAAGGTCTTTCCCAGGTCTCAACAAGGGTTGCTGTAAGTGGGAGCATTTACTCCTTTGCAATTATATGTTGATGTCTTAACCCTGACCCCATTAGCATGCAAAAGCTCTTGTATGGTAGAGACCTGGTTTTGTTATTGTTTAGTCATTTCAGTCCTGTCTGATTCTTAGTGACCCCCTTTTTTCGGGGAGGGAGGTTCTTGGAAAAGGATACTGTAGTTGTTTGCTGTTTCCTTCTCCAGCTCATTTTACAGATGAAGAAACTGAGGCAAAGAGGGTTAAGTGACTTTCCTAGGTTCAAACAGCTAATAAATGTTTGAGGCCATATTTAAACTTACATCTTCCTGACTCCAGGCACTGCCACCTAGATGCTCCCATTAGAATAGATAGGATTACTCAAGGTGAAGAAAGGTTAAAAGACCTGTCTAAGATTTCCCAGCTAATTAATAGCAGAGTCAAGGCTAGAATCTGGGTCTCCTGAGTGCTTGTTAGAAGCTACAGTTCCTATATGGTGCTGCCTTTAAGAAGCATCTTTAGGCATGAAAGCCTCATCTCAGCTCTTCATCATAGAGAGACCAGAGTAGGACCTCTAATCCCCCTCACATGACAACTTGTATCTACCATTCCAAAGTTTTGTTTGCTTATGGTCTGATTTTCTAATGGTTTTAACTTCTGCTTTTCTGTTGCCATTTTAGCAATCATCTATCCCTCCCATTGTGGGATTCCCTGTTGGCTTCAGTTGACCCTCTTGCTCAACTGAGCTACTTGCTCAACTGTTTCTGTTCTTCCCTGTTCCCTTGAATTTGGGCATTTAGGTTTCCTTGATTCCTAAGTGGATTTCTAGAGAGAGTACAACACATAGTGTCTTCCGTTAGTCAGGGCTACTGGCCTTTTACCTTTGGCCTCCTTCATTAGCCCTCCCCAGAGTATTTCAACTAAACCACTCCCTTGAAGTGGTTAAGCTAGAGGATTAAAGCCAGATGAAAGGTGAGGTGTGGGCTGAGTAGCAGATTGGTAAGAAAAATGGCATTTTGTTTAGCTCTCTGCCATCTCTCTGCCATCTGTGTGGCCATACTGCTTACCCAGCCATCCCCATCTCAGTTGAGGTCTGGGAGGCACAGGGATGGGTGATGCATAGCAATTCCACAATTCTATTTGTGAGCTGTTTTGAGAGACTCACTTAAAAGATCATTAATTGGTTCAAAATGATTATCTGGGTCCCCACAAGTAGTCATGGGGGGAAAAAAAGGTAAGATTAAAAACCCACGGATGGAAATATTTTGCAATGTGTCAGGCAGAAAGGGAAAGAGCCATAGTCACCAGAGGCTCTGGGGAAAAAAGCTGAGCCTGGAATTGAATCTGCAGAAGGGGGTGGAACTCTGCCTCTTCGTCTCCAAACCTCCCTGTCCTTTACTGGGCAGAATGTGTTGTCTTGGCAGAGCTCATCATTTCTTCCTATTGATCATTGTTTGTCTACTCCTCTGTCACACTGCCTGCCTTCCCCACCTTGTGGCTAAATAATCTCCAGGAAAGAAACATGTTAATGTTGGCCCAATACATATTTCACAGAATTTTCACAGAGATTCAGAGCTGCCTATAGTCCCAGTTACATCTTCCTTGAAAAAAAAAAAAAAGACATTTTGGAGGAAAAGAGGGGACTCAAGTAGTTCAATCCCTATACTAATTATCAAATAGGAAGCATGAGTGGAAAGGTGGACATTCTCCTTATATAGTTTTTTGAAGGTAGATCTCTTCTGTATGGAGGGGAAAGGGATGGGATCAATAGCCATAGAACTTCAATTAGCATGAAGAGTTAAGAGGCAGCCTGGAGTAATAGATAGAGACCTGGCTTCACAACCATGAAGACTTGGGTTCAAGTTCTGAAACTTATTGGCTGAATGACCCCGGGCAAATCATTTAAACTCAGGGTTCTGGGCAAGTCTCTAACATCAGAAATTATAGAGAAGGTGATGATCTGGTTTTCTAGAAGTCATTTTCTCATATGAGAGTTCCATATATGAATGAAATCGGATATCCACGCCCTATCCCTAGGGGTATATTAGAATGAGGGGAAGGTACTCTCCCCATGAGGTAGAACAGATTCAAAGATTCCCAAAATGTTTAGACAAAATCCTGTATGATAGCACCATCATGGCTTACTGAGGGAAAGTAAGGTGATCATACTATCTCTCATTTACATATTGATTTACAGTTTACAAAACAAATTTCTTACAATTCTGAAAAGCCAGTATTGTGAATAGTATTGTCATCATTTTATATACGAAGGAAGGAACTGAGGTTCAACTGCCATAGCCAGTAAGAGTCAGTGATGGGATCATGGTGCCAAAGCCTGCATTCCTTCTACTTGAATGACAGCCCCTCTCTGTTGTTGAGAAAGCAACCCTCAACTCTAGGACTTAGAGGCAATGGTAACTACATTTAAGGATTTTTGAAGGGCTATCACAGAGAAGAGAAATTGGACTTGTTCAATTTTGGATCATGAGCACAGAA